AAGATAAATTCTAATTCCGACGGATCAACATGCATCACATGGTATATTTTCGAATTTCAATAAACACAATCAATTTTCAAATAAATTTCTCAAACAATCAAGCAATCAACTAAACAAAATAAATGTTGCACCGAATAGCGACACACCTCAACAAATAGCTAGCGACGACAATAACATTGTCCACGGTCAGCCAGAACAATGGATCGACCTAAATCAGCGCCTATGGTTTAATTTTAATAAATATATTAATAATATAAATAATTGAGAAATCCAGACGACTAAAAATATAAACTATCACTCACGCTTAACACGGGTAATACGGGTTGGTTTGAAATTTGCAGGTAATAGCGAAGGAGACGGTAAATATATTTTCGAGTCAAATTCTCCTGCAAAAATTATGACATTCGATTTAATTCCCAATTCAATGATTTCTAAAAATTTAATAACATTACTACGACGTAAATATTAAAAATCTGGTTCGAATCAGAAACCGGGCAATGGGGTTTGGTTCCAATATAATAGACTGCTGATATAACAAAATGGGACTACCAGCGACGAAACTACACCGAAAATAGTCTAAAGGACCGACGACCTCAAAGTCCGACTTGCAATGACCTTAAACGATCGGCCACAGTGAAATCCATGCTTGCTAAACGATAGCAGCCGCAGAAAACAGAGTCGGCAAAGGCCCCACGCGACCGACGAGGGCTTCCCAGGTGAGTCACCGGGCATCTCGGCCTTCCCCGACGAGAACTCGTTCTCAAGGCTCCCTTAAACAGCTACTACACAATGGAGACGGTGACATATTTGCGCTAAAGCTAGCTGATTCAAAAACAAAATTGCCCCTCATCGACAACGAGGCTTAAGTTCATGACATGGGGGCTTTATGGGCGATGATCGGTGACCAACCTTTCAATTTGGGGCTATTTCGAGGTGTTACACCTCTACTTTATATACAAGAGATAGGTTATGTCACCAAATTTTTTATGAAACCTTTCCATTATGGCTACTCTCCAACTTTCCCAAATATTTCTTAGGTCATGTATATCGTTTTTCTAGAAGTTGACGTTAACATCCTCACACAGACGCGACACATATTCTTCGGGCAAACTATCTCATTTTCCCCTTTGTGTTTGTTCAGAACAAGTCCTGACCATTGGGTTGGGTTCTTCCTTGTTGTGACAACTTTTTTTCCATTTTAATGAGCTCTCTTCTATTCTATCGATTACTTTGTAAAACCAGCACCTATCTTTTTATATATGATGTTCATGCAATGCAAAATAACAAACAATCAAATACAATAGATAACTCAGTATAACATAATTCAAATATCAAGCAAATATTAATGAAAGGCAATTATAAAACCTCCTCATATGCTATCTACCCTTATTTTATTAAAAGGAGTCTTACCCAAACGTGATTTATACCCCGATTATTTTTACAAGGAGAAAACTTAACTAAATGATTTTTTAGTTATCATGCTTTTATTTGCAATAAAATAAATCTTATAAACGTACTTTCTGGTTTGCATGCTTTTATTCGGAAGGTAAAAAAAGAGAGAAGTTAGTGTTATTTCCTCTTTACGTATACTTATTTGGGTACCTAATAACGGATGGAGTTTCGGTATGGGTCCGACCGGGTGGGTTATTATGGCTTATTATATGAGGTTTTGGTTCTAATGAATAAGGTACTCAAATTTTTCTTATTGATGCCTCCTTAGGTTGTCATACCCTCAATCCTCACACATCATACTTATACAAATCGAGTTTAATTCAAGAGGATACATTCTCTTATGTCCATGTGGAAACTCAATTTATCTCATGTAGACATAACGTATATGAACCCAAGAGGTTACTTGCTAAAACCCATGCGGAGAACCGATTTATCTCATAAGCTAAGCGTTTACATCAACTTAAAAGGGACAGAGCTCGGGTATAGAACTCATGATATGCAAATGCACGTGTTGTGTTTGAGAAAAAACTCATAATCCTTTGAGGAAAAAAACAAGGTGACGACACTTTTCAAAGTTTTTCAAAAAAAAAATCAAATCTAAAGTAACGAGATCTAACATCAGTACAATTATATATAAGAATAAATGATGTAATGACAAGATGAAATTCACAATGAAGACAAAAAGATCATAATTTAATTATATATTCAAATTTTAAATTTTCCAACAAAAGAGACAACGTATAATTACTTATGGTATGACTCTATATCTTCCTAATAGACTTGCCAAGTTTTCATAACGTTCTTTAAACTTGCAATAAGCGAGAGTGTTAAACTTAAATTTTTTAGTTTAAAAAGGGTGAAACTAGGGTTTTGAAACAATTTGATCTAGAGTCACCATATACCTTTGGGTTAGGTAGATCAAATACCTAAAAACGTCTACCTTTTATGAATTTCTAGAAAAAAAAATCATTTAAAAGACTCAAAAAAATGGTATGTGTTTTTATCAAAGATTCATTTTTAAGAAACCGAGAGTCTGTTACGTGTGACGAAGAGTGAGCACCCCAGAGCGCCCAAAATTGATACCTAAGCAATTACACATTGTCTAAATAGTGGAAATTACAAACTTGAACACACATTTAAATTATGATACTTTCATTCATTCAAATTTATTTTAAATTTAGTGAAATTTTCGGTTAAAAAAGGTTTGGCTTAAAATGACTCGATTCACTCGGGTTCATATTAAAAAAGAATGTCCTTTTAATTTGAAAATTCAATAAATACTATTTTTCTTTAGATTTAGGATATTATCTCGTCAATTTTTAAAATTAAAACAACATTGCCTTTATGATTATTAAAACTGAAACATGATGACAGATAATATATGCAACAACTAAGAAACATGATCTTAACAAATATTTACACATATAAAACATTAATTATTATCACTTTTTTTCTTAAAAGAAGAAAATATTATTTAAAAAGGGATACTCCGGATACATTTCCATGAATTCCCCCTGCATAAAAAGGCATTGCCTTGACTTTTATTTAATAAAACATAGTATAATATTATAATGAAATTTTTTTAGGAAAAACATTCGAATAAAGAGGGTCCCTTTTTACATGAACAATCATAGGAAACATGTTTTCCTTATATTCAAGATACTTTTTTTGTATTCCCCGTAAAAAAGATCTTATCTTAATTTTTATTTAGTAGCATATGTACATATTTTAAAGAGTGATGTTTACTATAGAAAATAATACACATAAACTACGAATAAAATAATAAGTTACGAACATAAAAAATTAAAATATAATAAAAAGATAAGGAATAAATATGTAAACTATTGATATGTACATTACAAAGTACAAAGCGTACTATATATATATATGTACCCGTAGCATAATATGTTACATATATTATATAAGGCATTGTATAATGTTTATGAAAAAGGGGGAGACACTCTAGCGACAACGCTTTAGATATAAGTTATGATGTATGTAAAAGGACGTGGTAATTATTATTTTTATCCCGGGACAATCACATGTTCTATGATGACCGACGAGAAATACGGCGTCGATGACAACAACAAGCCTGGGGAACCAAGGAGTCACAAGGAGAAAAAGATGATCTAGGTCGTTGGATCAGATTCAATCCAACGGCAGTGGTGCATTGACGACGACTAGAAGAAACTAGGGTTAATAAAAACCCTAGTTTCATCTCTCATCTAGGTGTTGGATCTACTTTAGATCCAACGGTTTGAATGCACGACGACTGGAGCAACATGAGAAAACCCTGTGCATTGATTCTTTACTTACGCTTCCAATTTTAGGCTTCGCTATTAGGCATTTTTTTTTTGTTTTGTATTTGGGCTTGTAATGGATTGGGATTAAAGTTAGTTTATTTTTTGCAACTCTGGTCTTTTGATTATAATAATAATATTGTTATTATAAAAAAAATAGGGTCAGAAAAAGAAAATGATGATTACAAACAATGGCGAAAAGGTTTTCCAAGCTTGGATTAGTGAAATAAGACTGCGCTGAATTGAGTTGGATTCAATCTATTGTTTACTTGGCTTAATTTCCTGTAGAACACACAGAGATTTTGTTGGACAAAAATGCATCTGCTAAATCATATTTTAAGTGAAATATAACTATGTAAAACAATTGATTCTGGAATTTGTATTCAAGGGAATGGGGTAATGGTTAGAGGAATAAGAAGGAAGAAGTGTGTTGATCAACATGGTCCCTTCTGTGGGAGAATGGATGGGTGTTAGAAAAAAAAATGAAATAAGAAAGTTTTAGGGTAAATTATATATAAATTCATTGTTTAAGGATTTATTTAATGTTTAAGCAGCAATTTAAGGGTAAAACCAAATATTAATATTTTTATTAACGTTAATATGTCATCAATTTAACGGAGATAACGATGAAGTGATCATTTTATTATTAATCAATAATGTTAGTGATTAATTTGTTACTTTCAAAATTTTAGTGGGTAAAACAATAACTTTGTCGCGGCCGTCTTTCGGTTGGACCCAAAATTGGACTTCGATTTGAAAAAAAATGGATTAGAGTCGCCATCGATCATTTTAAAGAAATATTTAGGCTGATCGGACACCATCTTACCTCATCTACGTTTTACCAGAAATGTGTCAGGTTCGAGAGTCAGTTACAAGCAAGGAAGAATTAGCACCCTTGAACTGCCCGTTCGGTACCAATTAATTTATTGGTTGTCTTAATTCAAAAAATTAAAAATTAAAATTAAAATTTAAAAATCTGATTCAAATTACTTACCTTTGATCGATTAAAAAAATTTCCCTAAAAAGTCAAAAATATTAGATAAGAAGTATTAAATAAATATTAAATAAATTACAATTTTAAAAAATAAATTAAAATTTTAAAAGTAATAAAATAAACTAAATAAATAAAAGAAATGAACCCAAAATAGTTAATGGACCATATGTAGAATTTACCCAAGATTCAAAACCATGTGTATTCATTTTATTTTCACGCTCAAAACCAAACAAATTGCTTTTCCATTCGTTACAGATTGCTTCTGCCTTCATTCAACAACAGTTTGTTCCCAAATTTCTGCCGGTTTTTGTCTGGAGTGGCCAAGCAGCATCATCAAAGGCCACAACATTGATCTCTCTGAGCCCTTCACTCAAAGTGAAAGTGAACCTCTCTTGGAATATAGGCGCTTTGCCACCGTCGGTGCAGGTTCTTGTACGGCACTTGGTGCTCCCATATTCAACACAGACATGAGGATCCCGCCTTGAAATCCACTCAGTATCCTTCAATTTGTTGCATCCAACGACGGTAACCTCAAGAATATGTCCATGGATACCCGAAACCGACATGGATCGATACTCGAAATTAAGGGCGACCCTGGATTTATAAGACTGCAATTTCTCCATTATTAACTGAATAGAAGAATCCGCTTCAAGCACAATCTTATTGGCTGGAAGTATAAAATAGTGCTTGTTTGGTTTTTCTAGAAGCGAAATCCCGATGAATTCACGTGGGAATTCGGTGGCTAATGCTTGATCTCGTAACATTAGTTTGTAAAAAGTGGGAGTAGATTTCCAATGACCTTCTTTGACGCCATTCATGCTCTCCACGCACTATGATACTTGTTTAGAATTTGGATGTTCACGGTCGATCCTGCATTGGGCTGCCAATTGAAAACCCATTTGAAAGGCCTCGTCTTTGGCTTCTTCGGGTCTCGATTGTAAGGTCGACTAGTCGTCGGAGAATGTGACAGCAAACGGCGGACACCAGAGCTTTTATATATATAATCAAAAGGAGAAAGGAGTGGATCTCAGAACCTATAATTAGCTCCACCGCCTAAAATTAAGCTCTTTTATTAAGAGCTTTAACGGTGGGTCATTTGTTTAAAAAACAATTTCTCTGCAACAAAGGGGGAATTTGGTTCAAATTTGGGGTTCTGAAGGTCATGATTTGGGATCTTTCAGAGTCTGATCATTGCTCCTTTTTCTAGCTGAATTTTTTTTTGTTGAAAATAAGAAATTATTTGCCTCCTTTAAGCTTTCGTTTTCGATCCCCTGCTATCCCCCTCTGCCTTTTCGTTTGTGTCATTTTATAATACCAGCCGAGCTGAGTGACTCAATTAGTGATTTTCATGGGCATGTGGGAGTAGTGGAGTAGAATTAGTGGGTGGTTGGTTGTTTTTGTTTTAACATACAAAACGTGGGTTTAGTGGGTTGATGGGATTTGGTTAATGTTTGGCAGATAGATGATTTGGCTCGAACTGGGTCGGTTGAATGTTGAGTGGGTTGTAATTGGGTTGATATGGTGGGCCTACAAAAATAAAAATAAATAATAATAATAATAATAATAATAATAATAATTATAATAATAAATAAATATTTTTTGTAGACCCAGATAAAAACGGGTGTTTACATCTGCCCCTCTTTGCACATTCTTGTGTTAACAAGGATAAGGAAAAGACTAAAAATACAACAAGTTTTTGTCTGGTTCTCTTTGATTTGAGACTTGATAGTTTTTGTTGTGACACATATGACTCATTCGTCATGAAGTTGGATTAATCTTTTGGGTACGATATCATTCGTTGTGAAGTTGAAATCATAGGTAGCTCCTTCGTCGTGAAGTTGAGCTTTGAATTGGATATCCTTCGCCGTGAAGTTGAAATCCAATCTTGTGTAAGTTGCGTTATTTCGAGCCCAATATCCTTCGCCGTGAAGTAGAAATTGGATCTGAACGAAACTGGAAAATTGTTTGTTGACAGACGCCCCTTCGCTGTGAAGTTGAGCTTTGAATTGGATATATTTCGTCGTGAAGTTGAGTCAATCTAAAGATGAATGTTGCTGGTGAGCACGATTCTCTTCTTCGTGAAGTTGAAACCGGGGGTGGCCCATTCGTTGTGAAGTTGAGCCTGGAATTGGATATCCTTCGTCGTGAAGTTGAAATCCAAGTAAGTTGTATTGTTTCGAGTCCAATATCCTCCGACGTGAAGTTGAAATTGGCTCTGAAACTGGGAAGCCCCTTCGTCGTGAAGTTGAGCCTCAAATGGCACGATATCCTCCGTCGTGGAGTTGAAATCGTGGATGTGTGGGTACGATATCCTCCGTCATGGAGTTGAAATCGTGGATGGCCCCTTCGTCGTGAAGTTGAGCCTTGACTTAAATATCCTTCGTCGTGAAGTTGAAATCCAAGTATTGTATGTTGCGGGTGGACACGATTCCCTTCTCCTTGAAGTTGAAACCGTGGATGACCCCTTCGTTCTGAGGTTTGACTTCGAGTTAGATATCATTCGTCGTGAAGTTGAAATCTACTCTTGAGCAAATTGTGTCGCTTCGAGTTCAATATCCTTCGCTGTAAATTTGAAATTGACTCTGAATGAAAAGTTGTTTGTTGACAGTCAGTCGCCCCTTCGTTGTGAAGTTGAGCTTGTGTTGCCTCGAGTCCAATATCATTCGTTGTGAAGTTGAAATTGACTCTGAATGAAACTGAAAAATTGTTTGTTGACAGTCAGTCGCCCCTTCGCTGTGAAGTTGAGCTTGTGTTGTCTCGATTCCAATATTCTTCGATGTGAAGTTGAAATTGAATCTGAATGAAACTAAAAAGTTGTTTGTTGACAGTCAGTCTCCCCTTCGCTGTGAATTTGAGCTTGTGTTGTCTCGAGTCCAATATCCTTCGCTGTTAAGTTGAAATTGACTCTGAATGAAACTGAAAAGTTGTTTGTTGACAGTCAGTCGCCCCTTTGTTGTGAAGTTGAGCTTATGTTGTCTCGAGTCCAATATCATTCGCTGTGAAGTTGAAATTGACTCTAAATGAAACTGAAAATTTGTTTGTTGACAGTCAGCTTTTCTCGACTTAAGTTGTGCTGTAAATTTCCTCTAAATGAAGGATCACCTCATTCGCAGGTCTAAACCGATCATAATTCTTTAGATGACCCCCTTTACGGGAAAGCCAAATTTTTTCAGCTGGATATCCTCCATCGTGGAGTTGAAATCTAGCTTGAAAACGTGAACTGGATATGTTCTGAATTAGCTCTCGAGTCTGAAGTTGATTCTAAGATCTGTCGATCTTTTAATATGTCAAATTAGTTGAGGTGTAGCTCCTCGCTGCTGAGTTAAGCAACCACCATCGATTTGTTACAAACTCTTTTGAATCAAGTATCCTTCACCTTGAAGTTGAAACTTGACTCTAAAGCTGCAAAAATTATGTATGTGAAAAAAAATGATAAATGTGATGCTCTAAAATGTATGCATAGTAAATTAGTTATTGTGTTATTCCTCGGACAGAATCTCATTTTTTGTCTGCTGGTTCCTGCATGTGGAGGAAAGGCCTTCGGAAGATCTAATCATTCGCATCAGGATTTTGAATCCCCGAAGATGCCCCAATATTCGATGTTGAATTTCCAAAAATGCCCCAACATTTGATGTTGAATCTTCAAATGTGCCCCCATTGTTCCTCATTTCTTGCTCCAACAATGATTCTAAGCATGAGATTAGTTTCTGAGAGCCACATGTCATTTACCAAGATCCACTCTAGAGAGATTGTCTTGTTTGGAAAAATGTTTTTCTTTCACTTTTATTTTCAAAGTTCTGAAAATATCAATTAAAATAGTTTCGAAAAATGTTCAATCAAAAGTTTTGAAAATATTACCCCTTTCACGGTTTTACAATTGAGACGAATCATAAAACTAGAGTTCATTGGATATCAAAGAATTAATTACATTGTTAATCCTTCAATAAATTATAGTTATTTGACAAGTGCCAAGATCAAAGCTATCTTTGGGAAATGGTTAAACAAGGAAAAAAGTCTCAAGTTTTTGTGTTTGGTCAATGGTTTGGCATTTTTGTTTATTTGATTATCAATGGTTTCATGGGGTAGCTCGTATGCTCCTTTACTGGAAGTGTTCTCCGACTCCCAGCTTTCATGGTCACACTCAGATTGTGCGATGCCTTATCAAGAAATTTGTATATTCGAGTTGCCTTTTTAGGTTTTCAACTCGAATCCTCCTTTGGTTTCAATGCGTAATCAGAGTCTACGTCTTGAACACCCTTTATTTTTTCTCTATCATGCATTAAATATTTTAGAAAACTTTTTGCAAATAAAGATTAATCCTGATGGGCGGGATGAAATCTGAAGATAGTCTCTTCTGTTCAGAAATCCATGTATGATTAGAAGGGACTTTTAAAGAACGTAATGTAGGCCATGGTTCATGGTTATGAAAGAAAATGATAAATAGGCCCAAACAAGTGTTTTAGGGTATTGAACCAATGATCAATTCATTCTGATGCCTTTGTCTTGCTCAGTTTGAATATGCTCATATGTGTTTCTCTTCATTTTCTCTGGATGCTACATGAACTTCGAGTGAAGTGATTCTAGAATGATTGTGCTTGATCAATCTCATAATTTGAATCTCGATGCGTCATTTGAATCGAGAGAATCTTTGCATATGCGTCTTGTTTTCTTTTTTCTTTATTTTTCCTTTGTTTTTGTTTTTTCTTTTTTTCTTTCTTTTTCTCTTTTTTCTTCTTCTCTTTTTGTTCTTGATTGGATCTTTGCACTTGGCATTTGGTTCACCTTTTGGTATCTCCTTGGATTGATGTCTTCACTCATGTGAACATATTTCTTCCACCTTACCCCCTAGTGTGGAGGGTGACCCTTGGTTAGGGTTGAATCAGAGGAAAAATACTATAGGATCAAAAGGGGACACACGAGATATATATTTTCTCCTGTTTTAAAGCGATAAAGAAAGAAAGTTGTTCACCATTTCATACATGGAAGTCTTCACAGAAGAGGTATCACAAGGGGGATAGATTTTCAGGATTAATTTTATTCACATGAAAACAATGTAATTAATGCATGATAGAATTATTTAGAATTAATTCTTCTTTCCGCTTCTTGCTCTCAACATGTCTCAATGTTCAGGCTCCCTGCGAGATGCCACAAGTTGTGTCTTAGAAGAATGCTCATGTTCAAATGAACAACTCAATGCCTTAGGTTTTAATGGTATAAAAATGTCAATTTTGGGTATAAAAATGTCAATTTTGAGTCTAAAAAGACAATGGTGTGATTTTATTGACTCAAAGAAAGGTATGGCTATGACTCTTTGTGCATCGAAAAGATAAAGGCAATGTTCAAAAGTTTCAAAGGGTGATAATATCAAAATCTGGTTTTTTGGTAATGAACATGAGTTATTCTGGGTAAAGAATCAATGTACTTTATTTTGGGGTTTTTAGACAGGATACGATAGGTCTACTCTTATCTTATGTCAAAAATCTATAATTCTTGAAGAATTAAAAGAATCCTCAATTCATTTAATATTCAAAGAACTAAAGATTAAAACTCTTTCAATTATTCCACCTTAAAAGGTAGCATAACCTCAGTCATTTAAAAGATTAAGCAAACATGAAAGATCAAAATCGCGTTCAAACAAGACAATGCTCCCCAATGTAAATGGTAGATGCAATGCCCCCTTCTTCAATTATCCATGCCCCTAAATCCCTCAGGTTTTGAATCTTGCGCTTCAGTGTCTTACAGTTCTTAGAGGAATGTCTAGAGCTTCCCACACAGCTTCAACAACGTAGCCCTTAGGATATGGGGACTCTTTCCTCAGATCATCTTGGCAGGTTGTCCTACAATCAGCTGATCAGGCTCCCACTGTACTTATTTCAAATTTTTCTTTAATTGTTAAAATCTTACTTCCATATAGCGTCATGTGGTTAAGAACACTTCATCGAATCCTCCATTAAGAAATTTCATGTTTATGAAAATGCTTAAAAATAAAATGTAGATGCAAAATGCATGAAATGTTTGAGGCATTGATCCGAAAACATGTTTGTTATTATAAATAATCCTTATTGGGACAAAAGTGTTTTATCTTTTAAGAGACAATAAACATACTTAAAGGTACATCCGGACTAAATCCTTTAAACTAGAAACAAGTTGACTAGTTTTCTCCCTTCGTCTGTCACCGGTCAAATACCCTGCCGAACCGCTCTGCTTCTCTGACTAAACCGTGCAAGTGACGAGCTATTTTTTGTACATGTTCCCAGAAGTATCGAATGACTGCATCTCTAGCTTTCATCCTTTGCTGAACCTGTTCTATAACGGAAACACCATTGAAATCCTCCATCAAAGGGATTATCTGAAGTTCATTCGATTGTTTCTTGAATTTGTCGACAATGGCTTCCAATTCAGCTATCGTTTTGTCATCTTGTTCTTGTTGTCTTTGAAGGGACTCTTGAGGTCAGTAACCTTTTTCTCGTCTTGCCCCTGCCACCTTTGTCAACCTATTTTTGAAAAGTTGACTTGTGATGTACTTAATTGTGGGCACCACGTCTTATTGATCGAATGCGACACGTAGTTGTCTTACAGATTGTCCTTCTTTTCTTTCTGAGTCTTTTCTAACCATAGCCGGACTCCTGCATTCTTCACCTCTTGTATTACAAACCCTTTCTCCATTAATGCGAATTATTTAGGTTTAACGAACACGTTTTTGGCGGATCAACACCTCTTTTGAATGATGTAAATGATGAAAATAAAAATAAAAGAGAACAAAAATAAAAAGAGTTAGTGAAGTAAATCAAAACAATAAAAATGAAAAATCCTACCCCCACATGCTTATTATTTTTACCCGAACATGATCTCTATCCCGTATGCTAATTTCAAACAAATCCAAACCGCTTATTTGTCTAATTCGCATGCTTTGAACAAAAACTAAAGCAGGAAACAAAGCAGTCTAGGGTTTGGAATGAGGTTTTGGAGTGGGCTCTAATTCCATGTCGTCCCAGTTTAGGTTCTAAAGAGGTACCCGAGTTCTCCTCGCTGGTGCCTTCTTGGGCTTGCCAGACCCTCAGTCTTAAGCCCATTACAAGCTTATATGAACTAAGTTAAACTCGAGAGGATACATTCCCTTGTGCCTATGGGGTGAATAAATTCACAAGAAGACATAAGGTATATGAATCCCGAAGGTTGCTTGCAAGGCCTGTGCGGAGAATAAATTCTCTCGAATGTGTTGCTTTCACTCTACTTAAAAAAAAGGTTTTGGAGCTCGGGTATAGAGCCTGAGATGAAATTTTTTCAAAAATCTGAAATCATTGAGAAAACGTCAGTACAACTATTTATTTGAAAAATAATCAAAGGTAAATAATTGGACTATAATAAATAAATTTAAATTTAAATTTATTATTTTCGCATAAAAAGACAACCGAAAATTAATTCTGGCCTGACTCAATTACCTGTCCCCAGCGGAGTCGCCAAGCTGTCGCAACCGTCTTTCGGTTAGACCCGAAATTGGGCTTCGACTTGAAAAAAATGGGTTAGAGTCACCACTGATCATTTTAAAGAAATATTTAGGCTGATCAGACACCATCTTACCTGATCTACGTTTTAATAGAAATGTGTCAGGTTCGAGAGTCGGTTACAAGCAAGGAAGGATTAGCACCCTTGAACTTCCCTTCCGGTACCAATTAATTTATTGGTTGTCTTAATTGCAAAAAATTAATAATTAAAATTAAAATTTAAAAATCTGATTCAAATTACTTACCTTTGATCGATTAAAAATATTCTCCTAAAAAGTCAAAAATGTTAGATAAGAAGTATTAAATAAATATTAAATAAATTACAATTTTAAAAAATAAATTAAAATTTTAAAAGTAATAAAATAAACGAAATAAATAAAAGAAATGAACCCAAAATAGTTAAGGGACCATATGTAGAATTTACCCAAGATTCAAAACCATGTGTATTCATTTTATTTTCACGCTCAAAACCAAACAAATTGCTTTTCCATTCGTTATAGATTGCTTCTGCCTTCATTCAACAACAGTTTGTTCCCAAATTTCTGTCGGTTTTTGTCTGGAGTGGCCAAGCAGCATCATCAAAGCCCACAACATTGATCTCTCTGAGCCCTTCACTCAAAGTGAAAGTGAACCTATCTTGGAATATAGGCGCTTTGCCACCGTCGGTGCAGGTTCTTGTACGACACTTGGTGCTCCCATATTCAACACAGACATAAGGATCCCGCCTTGAAATCCACTCAGTATCCTTCAATTTGTTGCATCCATTGACGGTAACCTCAAGAATATGTCCATGGATACCCGAAACCGACATGGATCGATACTCAAAATTAAGGGCGACCCTGGATTTATAAGACTACAATTTCTCCATTATTAATTGAATAGAAGAATCCGCTTCAAGCACAATCTTATTGGCTGGAAGTATAAAATAGTCCTTGTTTGGTTGTTCTGGAAGCGAAATCCCAATTAATTCACGTGGGAATTCGGTGGCTAATGCTTGATCCCGTAACATTGGTTTGTAAAAAGTGGGAGTAGCTTTCCAACGACCTTCTTTGACGCCATTCATGCTCTCCACGCACTATGATACTTGTTTAGAATTTGGCTGTTCACGGTCGATCCTGCATTGGGCTGCCAATTGAAAACCCATTTGAAAGGCCTCGTCTTTGGCTTCTTCGGGTCTCAATTGTACGGCCGACTAGTCGTCGCAGAATGTGATAGAAACGGCGGACACCAGAGCTTTTATATATATAATCAAAAGGAGCAAAGGAGTGGATCTCAGAACCTATAATTAGCTCCACCTCCTAGAATTAAGCTCTTTTATTAATAGCTTTAATGGTGGATCATTTGTTTAAAAAACAATTTCCTGCAACAACGGGGGAATTTGGTTCAAATTTGGGGTTCCGAAGGTCATGATTTGGGATCTTTCAGAGTCTGATCATTGCTCCTTTTTCTAGCTGAATTTTATTTGTTGAAAATAAGAAATTATTTGCCTCCTTTAAGCTTTCGTTTCCGATCCCCTGCTATCCCCCTGTGCCTTTTCGTTTGTGTCATTTTATAATGCCAGTCGAGCTGAGTGAGTCAGTTAGTGATTTTCATGGGCATGTGGGAGTAGTGGAGTAGGGTTAGTGGTTGGTTGGTTGTTTTTGTTTTAACTTACAAAACGTGGGTTTAGTGGGTTGATGGGATTTGGTCAATGTTTGACAGATAGATGATTTGGCTCGAACTGAGTCTGTTGAATGTTGAGTGGGTTGTAATCGGGTTAATATGATGGGCCTACAAAAATAATAATAATAAATAAATAATTATAATAATAAATAAATATTTTTTTGTAGACCATAAAATCGGGTGTCTAGAAACTTATTCAAATATTAGTAATCATTTGTATAGTTTACCCAAATATGAATTAGAAAATAAATAGTGTAGACACTCATTTTCATCCGGATTTCTTTTCATATTATGTAGTATATATTTATTTTATATAGTATATATTATATAGTATGTTATATTATATAGTATATAGTATTATATATTATAATATATTATATATATATATATATATATTATGTTATATATATTATATAATAAGAATTATATATGTGATAGTATTATATATATATATATTATATAGTATGTATTACATATATATTATATAGTATGTATTACATATATATTATATTATATTTATTAATAATATTTATTTTTTTAATAATATTTTTATTTTTTAGGTCCAAGTTCAAAAGCCCAATCAAATATAAAAACAGAGCCCAACCGAACCATTTCAGCATGACCCAGCAAAGCAAGCCCGGTTAGGAGGACAGGGCCTGACCCAACCCAAGTCAACTAGGGTTCCAACATTTAGTAAAAGAACTGCACGGGGGGCTCCAATGGTGCGTGAGGACCACGCGCACACACTTGAACGCGCCAAACCGAGAATCTCGAAGCAGTTTTCTTGTTACCAAATCAAAAATATTTCCCCTGATTTTCTCGGGAATATGGCGATGAGTTCAACAGGAATACAGATGCACAAGTAAAATCCCAGTAAAATCGGGATTTCGATGACCTGATTCATCCTTTTTCTGTTCTATAAAAGCCTATGGTGAGGCATTACGAAAAACTCAAGGAAAATCGAGCATCAAGCAACCAAGAAGCAAAGCAATACAAAGCCAATATACGAAAACCCAAGCCAAAGTAAAAAAAATAGCAACATTCGAAATCAAAAACAAAAAAACAAAGCTTTGTTTTTTTAATGGTTGTCGGGATGCGTAGAAGCCTCGCCGGGAAAGGAAAGCCACCGGAAGTTGAAGGGACATAGTTGGACTAAGGTAAAACCGAAACTCCAAGTGTAGAACTACGCTAGTAGGGTCTTTTTTAAGATGAATAGGCTCTAATTTTGCATTTATCGGGTTGGGGAGAGCGTTTTAGGTTAGTTTAGATTTTTTCCTACCACCAGAGGCGGTCGCCGGAGCGACGGATGGGGTCACCGGCGGGTGGCCAACACTTGGCTGTTTGGGGGCTAAGTTGAGAGAATTTTAAGAAATGAGAGATGAGAGATTTGTGTGAAATGGTTAAAATGAATGGAATTTGTGATTTTTGGGCTATTTATAGGGAGGGCCTTTGTGTAATTACCAAGTAGTTAAATTATTTTTGTAGTCCCTGTAGTTTTGATGCGTAATTCATTTTGGTCACCTATTGTAATTTTGCCTTGGAATTTTGAATTTATTAAATTTAATCCATGTTTATATTTTTCATATTTTGCAAACCGACCCTTACCTTTTTATTTTCTTTCTTGCAGCTCACTTTAGAATCATTTTGACTCATAAATTTCAATTTATTTCAGTTTAATCCTCTTTAATATTTATATTTTTAATTAAACATTTTTTTTATTTCAATTTTTTTATCTTTATTTTATTATTTATTTGATTCTTAAATTATATTTTTAATTTAACCTTTTTAACATTAATTTCATATTTTTAGGCTATTCTAAATTTGTCAAAGGTAAGTAATTAGGATCGAACTTCTAAATTTTAATTTAACTTTTAATTTTCGTAATTAAGACAATCGGGAAATCATATTGGTACCGAAAGGGCAGTACGAGAGTGCTAATCATTCCCTAACTGTAATCGACTCCCTAATCCAACATATTTATGGTAAGTTGCAGATCAGATAATGATAAGTTATGGTATTCGATCGACCAAATTAATACGATCAGTGGTGACTCCATTGCACCAAATTAAGTCAGAACCCAATTCCGGGATCACCCGAAGGACAGTTACGACAACTTGGCGACTCCGATGGGGACATGTAAGAGAGTCAGGGCAAAATTGATTTCCGGTTGTCTTCTTAGGTGAAAATTGTAAGTTTGAATTATAATTTGTCCTTTCGATCATTGTTTTTTACCTTTGGTTATTATTTTTCAAATAAATAGTTGTATTGAGGTTTTTAATGATTTCATCTTTTTTCAAAAATCATTCATCTCAGGCTCTATTCCCAAGCTCCAAACCCATTTTAAGTGGGGGTGAAAGTGACGCCTTAATGGGAATATATTCTCCGTATATGCCTAACAAGTAACCTTCGGGATTCATATACCTTATGTCTTTGTGTGAATTTGTTCTCAGTACAGACATAAGGGAATGTATCCTCTCAAGTTTAACTAACACATGAGCCTGTGATGGGCTTAGGACTGAGGGTATGGTAGGACCAAGGTGGCACCAATAAGAAGAACTCGGGTACCTCTTTTAGAACCAAACCGTGATGCTGCAAGGAATTAAAGCCCATCCCAAAAACTTCATTCAAAACCTAGGATATTTGATTTATTTCCTGCTTTATTTTTAATTCTCAAAGCATGCGAATTAGAAATATATGCGGTTATGATTTGTTCAAAGAAAATAACATGTGGGATAGAGATCATGTATGGGTAGAAATAAAAGGCATGTGGGCTAAAAAATCATGTGGGGAAGGAATTTTGATTATTATTTTGATTATTATTACTATTTTACTAACTTGTTTCCTTTTATTTTTTATTTCCTTTTTTCATTTTCATCATTCAAAGAGGTGTTGATCCGCAAAGTGTTCGTTAAAACTTAAACAGTTTGTATTAATGGACAAAGGGGTTATAATTCTAGATGTAAAAAAAGCAGAAGTACGACTATGGTTAGAAAAGACTTAGAAGGAAAAAGGGGACATTCTGCAAGATAACTATGTGTCAAATCTGGTTGGCTACGCTTCTATCAACCTCAAACAGAATGATAGTCATGAGTTGCAGAAAATTTGGGACAGTCGGAAAACTGACAGAAAATAGAAGTTTTGCTAGCGATATGATGATATTGCACACTTGCTTTATGTCAAGATAGACGAACCTCTAATTTGAAATTTAGTTCAATTTTGGAATCTGGGATTCAACTGCTTTACATTCAACCAATAAGACATGGTGCCCACAATTGAGGAGTACAATAACCTGTTACATTGCGAATGAATCAAAATGGACCGAGTCTTCATCAAATCATCAAAAGTCAGCCTTTCAAGAATGGGTTGGCAAATGCCGCAGGAGTTGATAAAAAGTGGGTAATTGACATAATTCAATAGAAAGACAAAGGAGAAGGAATTTTTAGGACTCACATCAAGGAATTAATGAAGAATAATCCTGATAAATGGAAGGTGACCGGTCTTTTTGCATTTACAATCTATGGCTTGGTTATCTTTGTAAAAACTTTGGGATACATTAAGGCAGTTGTGGAGGAATTGTTCGAACATATGCCTTAGCGAGTGGACCCTGCACCAACAATCCTAGCTGAAACTTTCCGCTCACTAAACCATTATAGAAGGACTGGTGGAGGATGTTTTATAGGATGCACACAACTTCTTCAGGTTTGGATCCATAACCATTTTTGGAAAACCAAGGGGATTTTTTACCGCTTGTTCAGTATGACAGATTCACCTTTGGAGGAATTCCTTTCACAAAAATGGCAAGAAGGCATTCCGAAGGTGAAATGGGTAAAGTTATTCGTGCACCTCCAGGACAAAGAAATCATATGGAGAGCCCCTTGGCTGAATCACATTGACATTTTTTATTGGTGCAGAGATTCAGGAATAGTAATGTTACTCGGGTTGTGGGAAGGAGTTGGTTATTCTATGCTTTTAGCACATCTACAGTATGGGGCACATCAGTTTGTTCCAGTCACACATGAGATATATAGATCCAAGTTTGCATATCATGAAGATAATTACAAGAAGAAAGTCAAAGACATAGCCTAGTCATGGAAGAAGATATTTCGTACATATGTTGTGGCTGCAAAAGTCATGCTTACTCCAGACTATAAGGAATGGAGGAAGTCGAGGAAAAATT